CCTGCTCCAAGTAAGTGGTTTGATTCTTAGTTTGTCAAATTTGATTATGAAGACTCTTTTATAAAGATTTTGTTATACTTAGTTTGAGATACTTAGTTTGTGACTTTTTGTTATTAAGATTAGTATATGAATTTGGCACTTTCAGTTAGGGTACCATTCTATGAAAGTAGCAGAGATGATGGAATAAATAGTGATGATTTCAGTGATATATTTGTTGAATTACCTCCACTCAACAACTTTGTGAATGCTGCAAATGATGATAATACCTCACAATTTTATGAAGGTATATGCAGTGTAAATGATTCAATTTTATAAATGTATTTTAGTAAATGATTTGTTGTCCTTTCGATATATTGTTGATATAGATGTTACTTAATGTGCTATATAGATATTCAATTTGAACAAATTGTTGATGGACTAGATGGGTATGAACCCTATGAATCAGATGATTCGAATGAATCAGACGGAGAATTAGATCACTGTAGTTCTGATACAGAAGAAGGAGTGATAGGGATGAAGTTCTAGGCACAAGAAATGGGGAGGATATAGGTGAGGTGTTGATTGGTATGCCACACATATCCTATGACTGCAATGAAGAAACTTTTACTTCCTCAAATTATGTGCAATGGGAAGACCAATTAGACTTGGCAATAGGAAAACAATGGGCAACTATGGATGCACGCAGAAAGTACATTAGAATATAATGTATGCCATCAAGAATAAATTTGAGATTCTCTTTCAGAAAAACTGTGCAGATAAGCTCATCTTGAGGTGTAAAGGGGAAACATGTCCTTGGAGGTGTTATGTTATTAGGAAAAATGATGGTCACACCACTGAACTGAAGTCTCTCCAAGAAGAATATACCTGTGAGAATGATGGCAGGAACAAGAATAGAGTGGCAAATGCTAGATGGATAGCTACTATGCGGGCTCAGGACATGAGGCTGCACCACAAAAGTTACACACCCCAAGATATCATTGTTATAGCTTGGAGTAGGTGGACTTTAAGCATTTCATATTGGCAAGCTTGGAATGCTAGGTTGATGGCACTTGAAGAGCTCCATGGAAATTATGAGAAGAGTTATACTCAAGTTCCAGAATTGTGCAGACATATTCTAGCTTCTAATCCTGGTAGTTTGGTTGATTGTAAGTGTGACTCAGAAAACAAATTTCAGTATTTGTGTGTTGCTTTTAGGTGTAGCTTGGAAGGGTGGAGAACTAGGTGCAGACCATAGTAGTGTTGGATGGTTGCTTTCTAAAGGGGAAATACGGAGGAGTCTGTCTAGCAGCTATTAGCATGGATGGGAATAATGGACTATTTCCTCTAGCAGTCTTCATATGTAGAAAAGAAGATGGTGAGAACTGGGACAGGTTTCTGACATTAATAGCTCCTGAGCTGAAGAAACACCCTTTGCAACTTATTGTCACATCTGATAGGGCTCAAGCAATCATAACAAGTATTTAGACACATTTGGGAGGCTGCAATCCTAGAAGCTGCTTTAGACACATCTTTAAGAATATGAGTAAGTGGTGGAAAGGGGAACACATAAAGGAACTAGCTTGGGCTACTGCTTCAGCATACAAAAAGGTCCACTTTGAAAGAAGTCTTCAGAGATTGGATGAGGCACCGATTGGTATCAAGGACTATTTACTGGAGATTGGTCCAGAGTTATGGTCAAGGGCACATTTTGATACAACATGTAAGAGTGACCACCTGACAAATAACTTCAGAGAGAGCTATAACAGTTTCATATTAAGTCAAAGGGATAAACCTGTGTGTTCAATGATAATAGGTATATCATTCCTTTTAATGAAGATTATGTATGATAGGAAAGTTCAGAGTAGTACATGGAATGAAAATGATGTGGTACCTAGGGTTGCTGCAATCCTGGCAGCTTATAAAGAGAAGCATAATGAATATCTGACTTGCCCTTCAGGTGAAGGGACTTTCTGTGTGAAAAAAATTACTGGGGAACACTGGATTATCAACTTACACAAGCAAGAGTGTGAGTGTTGTGAGTGGCATTTCACAGGCATACCATGTGTACATGCAGTCCGTTTGATAAGCCATTTGAGACAGCCACTATCTCAGTATGTTCCTATTACCTTTACTTTACTTGTTTGTTTAATTTTTAAATTGAAACTGAAAGCTTCTTATGTATTTGACTTCATCTTGTTGATGGTTATAGATTTTGTAGTCCATTACTAAGTGTCAAGGTCTACAAAGCATGCTATCAAACAAATATCAAACCAATATCACATGAAAGTGATTGGCCAGAGGTAGTATGACCACAAATCTAAAGCCAATATATACTGCCAAATAAATTCCATAGTCATTAGGCACACATGGTAACCATTTTTTAAACATTGTGCAGGGAAATGAAGTTCTATTGCCACCTAAGCTTTCAGGAGCCCCCGAGAGGCCTAAAAACAATAGAATAAGGGGGCATGATGAGACTGAAACACAATCAAGCAGTCAGAAGAAATGCACCAAGTGTCTATCTTGTGGGCACAACAAGAGGTCATGTCAAGGAGGGTCGGTTGCTAGAGGTGGGGGAGAGGTGCTAGTACTGATGGAAGGGGTGATGGAAAAGTTGGTTCAATGGGTGTTGCAAGGGCTGGTGCAAGGGCTGCTTCTAGAGCTGCTAGGGGTGGTTCAAGGGGTGTTGCAAGGGGTGCTTCAAGGGGTGCTAGAGGTGGTTCAAAGGGTGCTGGAAGAGGTGGTAGAGGGGGTAGAAGAGGTGGTGGAAGTACTACTGCCTACCACCGGTAAGTATATATATAGGGGATGGTTCAAATAAAAAGAGGTCTTAACGTGCAAAGTGAAAAGTTTACACTTTTTCATGTTTCGCTTGCACTTTTTCTTGCTTTCGTTGCACTTTTTCGCGATAGCTAAAAAAAATGGTTTATTTACAAAACTGCCACCGTCATTTTGGCCGAATTTGGCCAAAATCAAAATGGCCAAAAAGTGCAACGCAAACAACAAAAAGTGCAAGCGAAACATGAAAAAGTGAAAACTTTGCACTTTGCACGGGAAGACCACTTTTCATTTGAACTTATCCCTATATATATATATATGCAGAGTTGTTGACACAACTAGTGTTTACCACACGTAGTTGTTGCTACAACCAGTTTTGGTCACTGCACAGATGCAATATATGTGCTCTAATTGGTTTTTTGGTGCTTGTAAATTCTAGACATAAAGCTCACTTTTTTGTATAACTACTAAAGCTAACTATTTTGCTAGAATTAGATAACAACAAAGTATTTACAAATTACACTTGCAGTTTTTTGCTCAATGTAATATGAAAGGTATGTAGACCAAAACTACATTATTATATAATGAGTTTTTTTACTCATAATCTGAATTACATCACATACTTGCCCTTCATATGTTACTTTCCCCCATCTTGTTCTATAGTCACTTTAACACTATGGTTTTGCATATGACTGCTTATTGTTGCTTCAGTTGTGGATGGTGTTTCCTTGTTTGGTACATATGTTGCTATTTCTCTGTGTTGGTGAATCTACCCATTTGAATGCTTGGCATTGGGGCTGACCTTTGCATCTTAGGAATCTGCATCCCTATATTACTTCTTGATTGTTGAGATGTGTATAGCTCCATGTTGTTTGGGCAGCTCTCTGTACAAGGCATGTGTTTATAGGTGCATGACTTCGCCCAATGACCTTGTTTCCACAATGAAAATACTAAAGAATAGAGAATATGTTATACTTGTTAGCAAGAAAAAATTAAATTTACAAAATTCATACCTTAGACCACCTTGTTCCTCCTTCATGTGCAACCATACGATATTTGGGATGAGCATACATACATATTCACTCCTCAGAATACCAGCTTTTATAGGGAGTAATGTGGAACATGTGGTTACATAGTGTTGGATGAGCATTTATGAGTCATTTATGGTTGGTAGTATATTTATGACTAGTAAGTATTCAACAACATTATAGGACCACCACACAGAAGAATCAGTGGGTTGTTCACTACTTTAATTTGTGTTGTTGATTAAATTTATGCTCTGATAATTCTTTTTTAGTTTGTAATTATGTTCTTATCTTTTTTGTTTATATTGTATCTGCATTTTCAATAGGCCTGAGTTTTTTGTTCTGAGCTGTGTTCTCAGATTTGTGTTCTGGGTTTTCTGTTTGAGTCAATAGGTCTGGGTTAGTTTTGTGTTCAGTTTTTCTTCAGGACTCAGTTTTGTATCATTGGGTCTCTGCAAATGGGAAAGTTAGGAATGCTGCTGTGATGGTGAAGTATTGGTAGTTCTGCAGAGATGTGAAGATTGATCTTCTCATAATCTTTGATGCTGTGATGGTGAAGTATTGTTTGTTTTGTGTGTATGTGAAACTCTCCTGAGCCAGCATATGTGTTAACTTAGGGTGTAAATACTAAGGATTATAGAAGTCTGCTAGGAGGGTATTAAAGGCATTTATTATTTTTTACAAGTCTAAATAACCCACTTTTTATTCCTTTTATTTACAAAATTACCAATTTGTACTAGTCTTTGGGTAGCCCGTACCTCCCAATTCCCAAACTACATCCCAATTTTCTAATGGTAGCAATTTTAAACATTGAACATGAAATCTTGAAAAATATTGATTATGCTTCACAATGTTCTGTGACAAATGTTTTTAAGTAATGTTTTTTTATGATACTTGTATTATTACTTTTATCCAAACATGTAAAATGAATAAGATGGTATATCGCCTATAGGCCCAAAAGTAGACAGGACCGGCCATGCTTCGGAGAAGACCCTTTCTCACGTGATATATACGATAGTATATAGGTTGGGCCGGGTGCAGCCGTGCAGGTATAAAATGCCACAACCGAAAGAATTGAATTTAATGTGATAGTGAGGTGAGTATAGATAATCAATCATTTCCCCTCCATCACATCATGTCGATCACATTCCATTCCATCTATGCATGTTGTCTATGTATAAATATAGCTTGAAACTCAGCATGTTCGCCATAAGCTCATATAAAGAGCGTAATAGAAGGGGAGAAAATCAATGAGGTCATCACCAGACACAAGTAAAGCTGCAGGTAATACCCAAAAGACAGAGGGTGAGGAACAAAATGGGGAAAGGTTGGGGGGGTTCTGTGTTTGGTTGATGAAGGGAATGATGAAGAAATGTGAATGTGAGAAGAGAAAGATGGTGCACAGCTTGAAGGTGGGGGTGGCCTTGGTGCTGGTCTCCCTTCTGTATGTGCTGGACCCTCTCTTCCATCAAGTGGGACAAAATGTCATGTGGGCTATCATGACTGTTGTCGTTGTTTTCGAGTTCTACGCAGGTAGCTAGCTAGACTAGGCTAGGCTAGGTTTTACTGCGTATATACTACCTCCGTCCCTTAAAACTTTGTCAAGTTTGACCATCACGGGGATTAATAAAGTATAAACTGTGTGGTTGATGTTTGTGCAGAGAAGAGAGAATTAACTGGAACCACAAATTTTTTACTTAAAAGGGAAAGTGTCAAAGTTAGTGGAACATTCAAAAAAGGAAAGTTGGCAAAGTTTTAAGGGACGGAGAGAGTATTCTCCTATGCTATTGCTACGTACATACGTACTTCTTTGCATGTAATAATGCACGTACTTATGTATACGTAGTATATAGCATGCATGTTAAATAGTGATTAAATTTCAGGTGCTACAATAAGCAAGGGGATAAACCGAGGGATTGGTACCATACTTGGCGGATTATTGGGATGCTTGGCCGCGCTCTTAGCCCACAAACTTGGAGGCTTGCAAAGTACTTTTGTAGTTGCAATTTCCGTTTTTAGTGTAGGTGAGCACTCCATGTGATATACAAATACTACGTACATCGATTCTATGTTCTTTAAAGAACATTCAGTTTTTTGCGCTATTCATGCATTGACTACGATTTTCTAATAACATATATATCAAAATTATGTATAAAACGGCATTAAACATCTATTAATGTAAATTTTTAAAATATTACTTCGTAACTTTTTTTTTATGTTTACTAATACATAATTAAATATAATTACGGTCAAAGTTGTGTGTTGGTAAACGTGAAAGTCATGAAATTGTTGCAACTTTTAAAAAACGGAGGATAGTAATTACGTACTACTCCTTCATCTCTTAAAACTCTGTCATCTTCACTTTTTATTTATCTCAAAAACTTTGTCGGTTTCCCTTTTCATCAAACAATTTGTGATTCTAATCAAATACAGAGTAGTTTTTACTTTATTATTCTACGTGTCAGTTAAACTTGACAAAGTTTTGAGAGGCCAAGAGAGTATTATACCATCCACATGTGTGCATCTATATACCAAGTAGAAGAAATTCCACTTATGGTCCTTCGAGTTTTGCACCAATTCCACAATTCGTCCTCGTCTTTCATGTTATCCATTTTTGTAACCTGACTATTGTTTTCTTGATCATATATAGTCCTTTTCCGATAGTAAAAATGCTCAGAAATGGACCACAAATGGTCAAGAAAACAACAGTCAGGTACCAAAAATGGATAAAGTGAAAAACGAGGACTAAATATGGAAATGACACAAAACTCGGAGGACCTAAAGTGGAAATAATTCATTCTACCAAGTATATATCTTAATTACTTTATGTTTGGGCGACGTTGAAGTTTTGATTTACAGAGTAGTTATTAGTTGCATACCGGCCGATATTCGACTCGTTTTTTCTACTCGAATAGAATTTTTATATGTTTAAATTCGAACTTAAATGAGTGTACAAATTGCAATAAACAGGTGTAGGTGCGACATACATAAGAATGTTACCAAAAGTGAAAAGAAAGTTTGACTATGGATTGTTGATATTCATCTTGACATTCAACTTGGTGGTGGTGTCGGGAGTGCGAGCGGATAAAGTGATGATATTAGCTCGGGAGCGGCTGTCCAACATCGGAATGGGCTTTGCCGTCTGCCTCTTCATAAGCCTGTTCGTCTTCCCCCAATGGGCTAGCGACCAACTTCATTCCTCTACTGCTTCTATGTTCCACCAAATTGCTTCTTCACTTGAAGGTAATTAATACTCCCTCCGTCCCTAAGGGTGTGTTTGGGAGTTGGGTTTTGGAGGAGAAGGGAAGGTTAATGGGGGTTTATGACCCTCCTTTTCATGTTTGAGAGTTTAAAAAATTGGAGGGGTGGTTTTGGAGGGCTTTTGTAACCCTTCAAAATGCTTAATTTTTAAGTTCCCCCAATTTGAAGGTTTTTGGAGGATAATTAACAAGATGGTAATTTAAGCTAAATTAGAAATGAATATCAGCTTAATGATTTGAATTCGTCATATCTCAAAGTGATTTTAATTATAATTCCTTCAAAAACCCTCTCTTTCCAAATTTATTACTCCCAAATACAAAGAAGGGTTTCCTCACCCTCCCCTTCCTTTCCCCTCCAACAACATACCTCCAAATCCTTCCCATCCTCTTCCCTCCAAACTCCCAAACATACCCTAAATAAAAGCATCTGTTTTCTTTTCGGGCCGTCCCTAAATAAAAATTCCCTTTCCTTTTTTGGAAAACAAAACAGTGCAAAACAGTGCAAAACAGTGTCAAACAGTACCAAACAGTGCCAAACAGTACCAACCAACCTCACTTTCTTAAAATATGTGGAAAATGAATGGATACTTTTATATAGGAACGGAGGGAGTAATTAATACTCAATCCAAAATATATTTGCTCTTTTGAGATTCTTTTTCTTAGGAATTTATTTAATTAGAATCGTCCGTAAATAAACGAGTAACAAATCGAAGTATGTATTGTGATAGAACTCACTAATTTTGGATAAATTATATGTACTATATAGTTTGGTAGTTCAAGTGTGACATTCTAAATTTATACTACCTCAATCCTGGCATAAACTTGTCACGACAAGCTGACATGAATATTTAGACAATAATAATGTCAATATACTACGTACGTATATTCAAAAAGTACCTTATATTATATATATAGAGGTTTTGGTTCAAATAAGAACATGATTTTAGGAGAGAAATGAGAATGAATCTAGACCGTTAGATTTGCTTTATGTGAAATTCAATGTGCATTAGATGAAACTGTAATGTGCATTAGATGAAACCGTAATGTGCATTAGGTGAAATTGAAATGTGCAGCACAAAGGGTATAATACAGTGACATTATGTGAAGTTGAATTGTGCATTAGGTAAAATTGAAATGTGCAATAGGTGAAACTGAAATGTGTAGAATAAAAGGTACGATGAGATGTTAATTTTGTACCTTTTATTCTGCACATTTCAGTTTGACCTAATGCACACTTGAGTTTAAATTTTTATTCTGCACATTTCTAGTTGAAAGGGCATTACTCACAATTAAATGTTAATCAGGGTGCTTGGAGGAGTACTTCGCAATTTCAGGGGAGAAGAAAAGCAGCACAAGTCGGGATGTCAATCGTTGCAAATGTGTCTTGTATTCCAAGTCCAGCAACGAAACTTTGGTACATAAATTGTTTACTCCATATAATTTTAATTAATAAAATTCAGAACTTCATTTGTAAATTTAAAAGATTTGAGCTTCCAGATTGATTTTAAATTAAAAAATTCATTGATTAAATTCAGGCAAATTTTGCAAAATGGGAACCATGGCATGGGAAATTTGGGTTCTCTTATCCATGGGGCAAGTATATGGAAATTGGAGAGGCACTCAGAGAACTTGCTGCAATAGTAGTTTCACTAAATGACTGCATTCACTCGACTGCACAGGTAAGCTAACGTGGAATGATTGTTGGAAAAAATAGTTTAAAATAAGAAAAAGAGAAAAATTTCTACTAAAATAATCTCAAATAAGAGTGTCATCATTTAAAATAATCTAGAGTTACAACCTTAAACGTGTTAATGTTATAAAAAAATAAACGGTAGTCGCTTAATTTTAACAATGATGATAAGCAGGGGCGGAACTAGTAAGGTGCTCGGAGGGGCTTGAGCCCCTGCAGTTTTTTTTATTTTTATTATATATGGAGTATATATCAAATATAAAATTGTAAATATTTATAACATATGTGTGTTATACATTAATAAACACTATGGTATCCAAAAGACATCGTAGCAAAGTGGTGAAGTGAAGCCATTTAAGCGTGTTCCCTGATTATGATAGTTCTAATGTTCGAATCCTTGTTTCAGCTATTTTTATATTTTGATTTATTTCAGTTTTATTTAAGCTCTAAATTAATTTAAAATGACTTTAAATAATAGTATTCAAATTTTGGTGATGTACCATTTAGCTCTTTAGTGCATGGGTGGGAATCACAATTTTGCTATGGTAGCTTTCTCATCAAAACGATCCATCATATTTAATTTCTTGCTTTTTGATTTCATGAAAAATCTCATTTGATGTTGTATGTAATTAAAATTTTGATTGCATAATTTACTTTTCAAGATATTATTTTCTACAATAAAATATATGTGTAGCATATTCTAGATGGTGATGTAACATCTTCCGTAGACCTTCGTTTTCCCTATAAGTGGCCCTCCAAAGTGGTTCCGCCACTGATGATAAGGAACTAAGAATAATACGTACTTTAGAAATAAGTTTTAATAATATCAACTTAATGTATATAAAAAGTGATATAAAGCAAATTTTCACTAAAATCCACTCATTTAACTCATAAAAAATAATATCAAAATATCAAATAAGTAATCATATTTACAAATATCATTTATTTGATGGTTTACTATTAATTTTTGATGTCTTAAATGACCAGACTTCTTATAGAAAAGTGACTCCATGTTATTTTTGTTCTGCATCCAGATAGTTGATATTATTAATAATTATTTCTAAAGTACGTATTATTCTTGCTTCATAAAAGATGGTTAGTATTATTTAAAATTATTTTCCCTATTTACAACTTGAAAAAATTGGATGTTATTTACAAAATTGAATAGATTGAGACTACATTTCAACATGGACAATAACTAAAGGACTAAAAATGCGATTGTCCCTTAACGTATGATGTTTTTTTTATCAGCCATTGGCAATTCAACGAGAAATGATCAAAGAGCCAACAGAACTAGTGGGAGTATCGCTGCTGTGTATTCTGAGGGAGCTAGGGGAGAGCATAAAGGGCATGAAACTCTACAGAGCTAAGGGCATGATGAGACCCAAGTTGCAGTCCATAAAACAAGACAACCTTATGATGAGCTCTCCTCCAGACCTGGGCATGTCTAGCTTTGTGTTCCTCTTGAATGAGGTGATACAAAAGGTTGAGGTATTAGTAACTAAGGTGGAGCAGCTAAGTGACATTGCAGGATTTCACATCAACAAGTTGGAGGTGTAATTGAATCATGACTACTAATTATAAATTAAAGGCTAAGTAATAAGCATACCAAAACAAAGTTAGAAGCATACATTAGCTCTCATATCCAATATATAGTTTCATTTCATCTTAAATTCCAATGTTGAATTTGGAATAAAAGATCTCACCTACAAATTTATGTGTAGAGTATACTTTGTATTATTATTTATTAATGATGCCTGTTTGTTATTGCAGACAACTTATCAGAATCATATTGCTCGCTTGAATTTAACAAAATTTTGATAATATATTACTCCTTTCGTCTCAAAATAAACTTTATTCTTTCTTTTTTCGCTCATCTCAATATACTTGTTTTTCTGTTTATGACAAAGAATATATGGTTCACATTCTCTCCCATCTGAACACACTTTCCATTATTTTTATGCTCTATGCAAAGTCAAAACAATTTTTTAATGAGATGGAAGTAGAACCATCTAAAATTACATTCTAAACTATTGGTTTCATATAATATATGAATAGCCCAATATCGTATATACGCATACCAAACCTGTATCATTTTGATCGCAATAATAGACTTACTCGGGTTCATCCAATTCCAATTGAGAAGGTTCATGTTCTATTCATTTAGCAGGGTCAGAACTAATTTGGGTCGGTGCCATGTCCTCGTTCCAGTGCGAAACTGAAAACATGGAAGCCTGATTGCCTGGTTCAATTTTTTATAGGTCCGGGACTTGGAACCGTAAAACCGGGAAAACCGATCCGAACCGAACCGAATTTTCCGGTTCGGTTCAGTTCCTATAATTTTGGACTTCATCTTTTTTCGGTTCGGTTCCTATAGTATATGAACGGTTCGGTTCCAGTTCCTGGATAGGAACCGAACTTCCTATACATTGCATGAGTAATCTTCATTTGAGGTGTTTCTAGGTGGAATTTTTTAATGAAATTTTGTGAGCTTGTTTTCAATGAAATTTAGATTATGTCCACTAAATTTGAGCTTAAAATTCAATCGGGAAGTTAGTTAAATAAATTATTGAAAAACACTACGTCAAAATACATATAAAAAACACAATGTTTTTCAACATTTTATTTAACTCACTTCCCAATTGCATTTCAAGCTGAAATTTGTTGGATGTAATCTTCACTTCATGTAGAACATGCTCACAAAATATCATCAAAAAATTCTACCCGGAAGCACCTCAAATGGAGGTGGCCAAACGACGTTTCGGGCAGAAAATTCTTGTCAGGAATATTTGTCTTGCATAATATACCTTATATATTGCGAACCACGCCAACTCGAGTAGTTGTTATTTTACTACTTTAGCCGATTTTTATATTTATTATTTGTTTGTGATTGTATTTGTTGTTTGAGTTCACAATAAGAAAATATTATTCCGCTGATTATGTTGTTACTTGTTCACAATAAATTACAAATATTACTGGTCAGTTTATTATTACGGACTTTTTACTTATGATGCATTACTAGTAGAAGAATATTATTTTGAGGTTGAACCACCTACTATTAGATGTGTACCTTGAAGTTATTAAACCTTTTTTCTTGATAGTTGATGCCTATTTTAAGCATCTAGGTTGTTGTTATGTTTAAACTTAATGTTTGTACTTGGATATTTTTGTGATAATTGAAAATTAGAATATCATGTATGTATAATGTAATGGTCATAATTTCATCATTTAAAATTTGAATTTTTTTATGAAACTGAAGTTAAAATGTACGGAGTATTCATTTTAGGAGGACTAAATTTTTATTAGGAACCGAAAAAATGTAAGAACCGAATCAAATTTAACTAGAATCGAACCGAATTTAACTACATTTTTAACTAGAACCGAATCGAATTTAGCGCATATAATTTTTAATACGGTTCTATCGAATTTTAACAAGAATCAAACCGATCTCAGGCCTAATTTTTTACCAGCCCAATCCGAACTGATTTTCAATAGGCTCACTCTTGATCTTATATACTACCTCCTTTCTTTTTAATTAGTTACAACACTGATTAATTTTACATATTCACATGTTTTACTTTTACTACATTTATTTATTTATGTATATTATAAATTAATTTTTTTGAGAAATATTGTTCACTTCCAATTGTTTTGAGAACTTTACATTTTTTAATAATAAAGAATGAAATATATTAATGTTCAAACTTGTGCATTAACAAACATGAAAATTGGTTAATTGGATTACTTACAACTAATATTTGTTTGAAATGGTCAAATTTGTGTTTAGCGTAATTGTTTTTTATTAATATAGAATGACTAAACGATTTTTATGTTAAAATCTAGAAATAAAGATTACTGTATGGATAAAAGATCTTCATGGAAAAAATAAGAATTGGAAAGTAATGAGAATAAAAAAATAATATTAGGTACGAATGGGTGAACTCATAATGATGATTTTGTTTACTTGGGGGGGGGGGGGGGGGGGGGGGGGGGGGGGACTGGGGAGGGGGGGTTATTCAACCACAAGAAGAGAACTCATAATGAACCAAACATACTCACACAACTAGCTCAATCAGGGTTGGACTCGGGCCGGGCCAACCGGCCCGGAACCGGATCGGCCCGCTACTGTGCGGGCCTGGACCGGCCCGGTGAACCAGTTGGTTGGCCGGTTCGGGCCACCCGGCCCGGTGGGATGGCGGTTCAGGCTCGGGCCCTTCAAAAGGTGAACTGGCTCGGCCAGTTCGGGCCCGGGCCGGGTCAATTTATTTTTTTATTTTTATTTTTGAATTTTTTTTTAATTTTTGGGTTGGGCTGGGTATTTTGGGCCATTTGAGGTGGTTAGGGTTGGTTTGGGGGTGAGGGGGAGGGTTGGGGGTTAACTAGGAAAAGCCAAAAAAAAATATTAGAACCGAGGCCCGGCCCGGCCGGGCCCGAACCGGAACCGGAACCGGTCCATCCCTAGGCTCAGTTGGTCGAGTGGTAGGAAAGTTTGAGGATGATCAAGGATCAAAACAGGCAGCAATCGTGTGTAGGTTATAACTCTTGTGTGCTGGCTGAACCTTTGGTCGGCACGAGTACAAGATCTACCACTGTTGGGTCGAGACGTGGAGCCATTGGGGTTGGGGGTTCAAGCTTTTGGAGGAAATAACGAACCAAACATAGAGGTCCTTTTTGTAGTTGCAAGTATTTATTGTTTCTTTTTGCACAAACACAATCATATACTAATAACTAATATGATACAGCTAAAAGCCGGAATTAAAGACATAAAAATCTAAAGAGGATTTGGGAGAGAGGTCATATGACTAATACTTTTAATTAAATTGTGTAATCTCTTAATTGAATTGTGTAATCTCTGTGTAATTATAAGGAAAGTGAAACTTCTATTTATATGCTAGATGAAATCTCTCAGGATTATGTATTTATGTGGTTATTATGAACCAAACAAATATTATGCTAATAGTGGTGATAACTGATAATGACTCGGAAAATAAACATTTTGCTTGTTTACAACAAAAACATAATAATCGTGAATAAATAAATGAATGAATAAACAAATGGGAACTAGAGATTCTTCTAATAACTGGTGGCTAAAATTCAATCTGCTCCCTATATCTTAGCTACCCCTACAAATTCTATATAAGATGACTAGGGAAAAACCTGGGAACAATGGCAGTGGATGCTATAAGTGTGGATTTACAGTGGGATTGACTGAAGAAGCTAAGGAATCTGCACCAAAATCCTCCCAGTCTGCAGGAAGCTAAAGGAGAAGCCTGTGTGCTAAAGAACCTCACTGCATTATGCACGTAAAAACTCGAAGCCTTGATGTTCAAGGAGTTTTGTAGCAGGTTTTACACAGGTGAAATTGACATCTCTAAGCGAATTACAAAACTCCTCAACAGAGAAAGGATTACTGCATGTAAAAAGGATAAAGGTAAATTCTTGAAGCATGATTTCCATTCTTTTAGGAACTTCTATTGAAATTGTACCTCGAATTGTCGTCCAAAACGAAGGAGTTATTCTCGGAGTCATCCGAATCCTCTTCTGATACAAGAACCTTAATGCTGGTAATTACCTAAAAGGGGAGGATTATCCATTCCACAACAATGAGCAAATGTAATAAAAAAATGGAACACCAAAAATCCAAAATATTTACTCTAGACAAAACTATTACTCCGTAATATTCAGTGATCTAATCAAAATATTACTATGGAATGCTAATTAAGAAATTGCGCTAAATACGAGTAAAATCAATGTGAAATTCTAAAAAGAAATGTTTTTCCATAAATAGGAACAACTGTGATGCTTGAAAAATACAGCCAATTATGGGTCATGATAATGACAAAATATGTCAATAGACAGTATGCACTCCTGTTCAGGAAGGAAAATATAATATTCCTATTTTGGAATTTCACATTGTTTTTACTCCTATTTTCGGGAAATTTTCCATGATAATTTTATCACATTTTTCTCTCTCCCACACCACCCTTTCAAGTGTGACTGCGGCTAGGGACTCTTTCAAAAAGCCACATGTAGGGCAGTGTCATAATAAAATGACTATTTAGTCTTGCTTTTGCAATATTTAAAAAGTAATCACATTTTTTACCATGGGTATTTTTTTAGTAAATATTAAACAAAAAATCCCATAAGAGAAATGGATATATACAAAGATGATTTAAGCCTAATAGAAGGGGAAAATCTCATAAGAAAAATTCACAAACTCACCTCTGCAGATACACTTTCAGTGTTGTTGCTGTCATCCCAAGATAGCATACATAATCTGTAGAGCTGTTGACTACTCAGAATCTGGAATCATGAGATATCAATGAAAAAACATTTTCATGATTCAATTGCATGTTGAGCTAATATATTACTACGGAGTAATAAAGTAAGAAGTTAAGAACATGCAGTGGATATGTAGGCATGTCTTGAGACATGTTTTGGTCTACAAAAGTTGGAGGGGATATATTTTCCCGTGTAGGCGGTGTAGCCATTTTTACTCGTCTCTTTTTTTCATTCTCTATGTTTTAAGTGGAAAAATTGTTAACAAACACATACTCCGTATTTTAAAATTTAAAGTCATTTTCCAAATCTACTATGATATGCCATTATGCCCCCTATATTTGTCTCTCTTATCCTTTGATGTACTCTATAGTCTCATAGCTTCCACCCACGAAGGAAAAATTTAGCTGGCATATTGGGCACCAACACATATTCACAATAAGGAAAAGAAAATGACAAAAAAGCAATCACAAACAAATGAAAACAAATATTGAATAGCTTACAGGGCACAAGTCGGTTATAAGATCATCATAGGTAAT